GTCCAGCAGATGTTCTTGCTTGGACCCGGCATGCATCCATGATGTTGTGTGGATGCGCCGATGCCTGAACAGCCGGTGTGACTACCGCAGAGACGGATGAGGGTGAGATGCGGCTGCCTGGAGGACGGAGGCGGGCGGAGGGGAGAGTGACGAAGTGCTGGCATCGACCTCTACCGGGAGGAGGCGAGCAGAGGAGGATGCCTGGTGGCAGCGGGCAAGGAAAGGAGAGGTGCCACCGCGGAGGGAAGCAGTGTCAGCCAGCCTGGGAGGGAAGGCTGAGGAAACGCCGAACTCTGCTGGCCGGTAGGCGCAAGGTGCCCAAAACGATGCTGTGCATGCGAGTACTGGACCTGTGAGGGCAGGACGGCCCCAGGAGCGTGGAGGATGGTGGCGCAGAGGACCGGGGGTGAAATTCACCCCGATACACGCCAGGAGGCACAATTGTGTACGGGTGGCTTTCAAAGAGGACGTGCCGGAGGAGGTCACTATCGACCGACCGAGTTTCGTACGCACTATGATGATAGAAATACTATGAGTTGATCCTGCAGACCTGTTTTGTTTGATAGCCTTGCCGGGTGGCAGGGCTCTTGACGTTTGTTTCAGGGCACGAGTGAAGGCAGTGGAGGAGGGAGAGCGGTGTACGCGGTTCTTTTTTAAGAAATGTAGGAAGGCAGAGAATACTATCCGGGAACTGGTGAGCCCCTGGGCAGACTCACACCTGCACAGAGGAGATAGTGGAGGCAGCTAGGGATTACTTCAAGGAGTTTTACAGCAGCAGGTCGTCGGAGGCAGAAGCACGGACCTCCTTGCTGGGGGAGGTAGAAAAGGTCATCGAAGCTCTAGAGGAAATGAACAGGCAGATCCAGATGGCAGAATTAGATGAGGTGGTAGGAGGGTTACGTCGTCACAGAACAGCAGGAGAAGACGGGATACCGGCAGAATTCTATATTACCTTTTGGGATACCATCAAGTACGACATATTGCAGATGTACAGAGAAGTCTTAGAGGAAGGCCCAGTGCCAGATTCCATGAAAAGGGGGGTGTGATAACCCTTATAGATAAGGGGAAAGGGGAGTGCAGTGACCTTGGGAGCTGGCGCCCGATCACCCTGCTGAACTCTGATTATAAGATCCTGCCAAGACCATCGCAGCACGTTTGGGGAAGGTGGTGAAGGAGGTGGTCGGATCCAACCCGACCAGAAGTGTGTGGCTCCGGGCAGGCGGATGTCAGATAACCTTGTCCTGTTGAAGGAGGTTGTGGAAACCACGGTGGAGAGGGGCGGATCCTTGGGCTCCTCAGTTTGGACCAGGAGAAGGCCTTTGACAGTATCTCACATGATTTCTTGTTTGCGGTTCTGGGGCGAATGGGGGTGGGGAAACAATTGATTGGCTGGATAAGGCAACTCTACCATAAGCTCACGGGCAGCCTGCTGATAAATGGAGTCCTCTTTGAGGAGATACCAATTGGGTCAGGTGTGCGACAGAGGTGTCCTTATGTCACCGGTGTTATTCATATTGTGTATGGAGCTCTTTGCCCAGGCGGTCAGAGGAAATCAGTGGATTGTGTGGATTGTGTGTACATGCCGGGGTGTAGGGAGCAAGCAAAAATATCCCTGTACATGGACGATGTCGTCATTTCTCTGTGGTGATGACTCCCCAGTATGGGAGACCCTAGGACTCGCGGATAGATTATTTTTCGCCTCGGGATCTAAGGTAAATGTGAGGAAGAGTGAGACTCTGATCTTCGGCGACCCCCAGGCTATTCGAGAGCCATCCACCCGGTATAACAATGCTCGTAGAGGGGATAAAGATCCTAGGGGTCACCTTCTATCGGGGGGGGGGGGGGGGGAGACTTTGAAGGTGCCGCAAGAAGCCGGGGGAAGACTTCAAGAAAATTAAGTTGCACAGTGAGCGCTCTTCTTGAATGATGTTGCGACGCTACAAACTGGGAGGAGATTTCGAGGGCACAGTTCTTTACTCATTGGTTCTTTCGTTAAAGTCAATCTCGTGGACAGGCCTGCATGGAAGGACGGCCAGGACACGACACATGCACAGTATTGAGAGAGAGAGATACAGTATATATATACATCTCATATGCATTCGCATGATGCCATTCTTGCATAAGGATATTACTTGGTTTTCACAAGGGCGTCTAATTAGACAGCCACACCTAAGCGCACTGATGGGTCTTGTGCGTGATTACCATAATTGTCGTAATGTTATTTTTTTTCTCTCTCCGAATTATTACACGAAATCTACTCACTTGTATTTGAAAGTAAAACGTTGGGGGATGCGTCCTATAATCCGGAGAATATTGGTCTTCTCGAAGACGCGTATGAATAATCTTTCGGAAGACGGTTCCACATAGCGATACGATACAAAACCAACCCAGAGGACAAGATACCATCAGCCCTTCAAAGATCGTGTGGATTTTTTCCTCCGGGTCCTCCGGTTTTTACCTCCACATTTAGAATCAACATTCACTTCCATTATTGAGGTTAACACATTCTTGCGGAGGGAGCTGGTAGGAACGATGGGTTGCTCAGTCAATGGCCAGGGTCAACGGCGGCGTGGTGTATTCCGCAAATATGCCCGACTGTGAGGGCGGGCACAAGCCGGCGTGAGTAGTTTTATAAGGGCACCACGGGGTGACCAGCCCCTCCCCACCCAGCCCCACCCCTCCCACCCCCTACCCAGCCCCACCCTCCCCACCCAGCCCCTCCCCACCCAGCCCCTCCCTACCCTCGCCTCTCCACCCAGCCACCACCCCTCCCACGTGGACAGACAGCCACAGACATACACAATGAATCCCCTGCCTCCTGTGAATTAATCCCGGTTGGGGTTCCAGTCCATATAAGGGCACCATGGGGTGACCAGCCCCTCTCCACCCAGCCCCACCCCACCCAGCCCCACCCCTCCCATCCCCCACCCAGCCCCACCCTCCCCACCCAGCCCCTCCCCACCCAGCCCCACCCCACCCAGCCCCACCCCTCCCACCCCCCACCCAGCCCCACCCTCCCCACACAGCCCCTCCCCACCCTCCCCTCCCCTCCCACGTGGACAGACATCCACAGACATACACAATCCCCTGCCTACTGTGAATTAATCCCGGTTGGGCTTCTAGTCCACTACGTTTCCTACCAGAAACTTTGCAGCTATACATTTCCACACGATATGCCACTTAGTTGAGCTATCGTTTGTGGCCAGGTTGCTTCTGAAATAAAGAAGCTGATAGGTCAGCGGGATTTCCCTGATGAGATTTAACAAAAAAGTTTTGTTTTTTTTGCATATTTTTTCAAGTGATTTCCATAATTTTCCAATACTTTGCACTCCAGTCGTGTTTTAGTTTGCTACTCTTTGGGTCTTTCGGCTGTTGTAACGTTCTGACATTACCCCCCGACTGGACATCTGTGAGCAGGAGCTTTATAGCTCATCGGATTCCTCCGGTATGAAGGTTCTGATTCTGCATCGTCTTCTGGAAGACGGCTCTGTCCATTGTACAGCAATCTCCCTCGTAACAGACACGCCGCTTACATTGCATCGGTGGTACAATAAAACGAGCCCTCATTCGCCACTGAGTGGTGGTGACGTTGCCGCAGCGCCCGTGCCAGGCTAGGTGCATCAGTGGCTCCCGCATCTGCACACACACTCGCGAGACATCTACGTGCATACACACAATAACTATATCTGAAGTGAATCAAGGCTGTTTATGCCAAGTGGAACGTGTTTAACAATCATCAGGTGCATGCAGCATGCAACGACTTAATTTGGAAAGATCATATTGATAAACGTGTCGTGTTGCGACGAGGGGATGAAGCATGGCAAAATCCGTGATGTAAAGCGTTCGATTCTTCTGAATAATAATAATAACTTCAACTCGTATCAGCCAAGCATCCTGAGTGCACAACTACAAGAGAACAGCTGATTATTATACAAGGTGAGTTATGTTTTGTACAATTTAAAGTCGAATTGGGGCGGCATATCGTCAAGGGAGGGAGGGTCCACCATGCCTGCAAGATCGCCAGTTCACCAGCATTGAGTGAAGTAAGCCCCTGACCCTGCTGACGAGACACCGAATGTCGAAACCGCTCCAGAGTTTGCTCGTCTTGAAACAATGCTGCCGACTCTTAACTTAAAGCTTTCGTGACTGAAGGAATTCATATTCTTGGGTCGTTCGGTAAAGTCACGTAGATAGGTTCAAAGAAAATCATGATAAAAAATAACAAATAACTATGACGTTTTCTTGCCAACGACAACCGCCTACCCATCAACCAAGACATCAACATCTTCACCTCGCACACCGACTACTCATCGTGTGTGCATTATTTGTTTGGCTCAACATTTTCTTTAAGACTCGGGATGCAATTACAACGTGTCTGGGCGTATCCAGGAGCGCGATGACGACAGCGGGAACAAAGCCGCCTCAGTTGTCACCCGCACGCTCCCTCGTCTTGATCACAGCGGCCGCCCTGATTAACGCTGCGGGTGTAAAAAAATTAGAACCTCACTGTGCGCCGGCTGCTTCACGGTGGGAATTAATGATGCCGTGACGGCATTGGCAAAAAGTGTCAGCCATTGTGTACCGGCGTCATGATGCGGCAAGATTTACCAAATCGGAATTAAAAAAATACCCGCAATTTCCTAAACTTGGATTTCGCATTGCAATCACCGCCCCCCCCGCCCCCCACTATTACGAACACTCGGAAGGATCCTCTTAAAGAAAAAAAATCACGAGACTCAGTGAGGCATTCCCTGTGTAAATAAGCGAACAACAATAATATCAACAAAACAATAACAATGGTCAAACGACAACAACAAGGACAACCCCCACAACTCGCTCGGAGGGGGGAAGAAGACCCCTCTCGTGCGTCTGCTGATCGTCGATAGAACGCGCCGTGCGTGCGGTACACACGCGCGCGCAACACGACGCACAGGCGCGTGGGCGACCGCACACCGTGGGTCAACTCCTCTGCCGAACTGAAGCTGAGTTGGGGCGCTTACCATTGTTGAGCTCCCGGCCGAACATCGTTTTCTCACCCAGCGCCGAGCAATTCCAGTGGCTAAATCGAAACTGGTGCTGGCACTCGCCGATTCCCAGCTGCACGCCCTCGCCGATCACGATGATCGCGTCCGGACGGCTCTGGCACAGTGCCCGCTGACGTGGCGCCAGTCCCGGAATCTTGCTGCAGATGATGTTTGAGCCCAGTGCCATGACCGTGGAAAGTGCCCTGCGGCGATCGGGCAGGCAGACGGACGCACAGGCGTGGACGCATGGACGGACAGACACGCGGCGTGATGTTTCGTGGTACATTCTTGACATTATTTATTCGTCCGTTACGTTTGTCGTTCGTACACGAAGCGTACAGAGTGCAGCCCTGCCATTGCTGGATCGCCAGAGAGTGTTCTGGACTGTCCTCTAGAGCAGACGTTGGCAGCCCGCAGCTCCGGAGATGCACGCGGTGGCTCTACAAGGGCTGCATCATGGCTCGTTATTTATTAAGGACCACCACCGTCTCGTAGTCACACCACTAACGCTTCTATTTTATAAAGACAAAGATCTCCCGTGTAGCCTTAACAAACTGTAGGGCAAGTGCTGTTAGCGAGCACCTATGAAGGCCGGAACGGTACACGAGGGGGGTGGGTGGCCGGCACCACGCCCGACCGCCTTTGTCTCCCCAGTGGCGATGTTTACACACCGCACCAGGTACTCATTTGAGGCTGAGTCGACCTAGGGGAGGCCCAGGACCGGTTCAGATAATCGTCACTGGTGTTGGCCTTGAGCGGGAATCGAACCCGGGTCGCCAGGTTCGTAGCATAGCGCGCTAACCGCTACACTACCGCTCCCCACTGCACGCACACAGAGATGCACACACAGACACTCACCTACACACACACACAGACACACACAGAGACACACACACAGACACTCACCTACACACACACACAGACACACACAGAGACACACAACAACAACAACAACCGCCATTCGCCACTAAGTGGCGGTGACGTCACCACGACGCTTGTGCCAGGCCATGTGCACCTTGAGGCCACGTGAAGTGTCGAACGCCCGCGGGCAGGAGGTCATGGGGCAGACCCAAGTGCCATGGGTCGACTGACTGAGATGACTGAGATGACCTACTGATGCACCACCTGTGCCCCCTACTGTGCCAACCTGCTGTGCTTTAGCCACCCGGCGCTCCGCTCGTTGTTGTGAGCGTCGCTCCTCCGCCCTCCGTTGTGTTTGGAGGGCGACTACCTCCAACTGCCCAGTAGCGTCCTTCACGAGCCTCCTCCACAGAGGCCGATCTTGACACCGCTGGTACCAGTTATTGGCAAGTCCACTCAGCTCCACGTCCTCCTGTACCACATCACTCCATCTCTTCTCTAGCCCGTGCCGCGCCCGTTTAGCCCCCTCGATCCGGCCACACACACCCCACACACACCACACACACCACACACACACCATGCCTGGGCACACACCACACATACCACACACACCACACACACACCACACACACACCACACACACCACACACACACCACACACACCACACACACCACACACACACCACACACACACACCACACACACCACACACACACCACACCCACCACACACACACCACACACACCACACACACACCACACACACCACACACACCACACACACACCACACACACCACACACACACCACACACACCACACACACACCACATACACACCACACACACACCACACACACCACACACACCACACACACACCACACACACCACACACACCACACCACACACACCACACACACCACACACACCACACACACACCACACACACACCACACACACACCACACACTCCACACACACACCACACACTACACACACCACACACACACCACACACACCACACACACCACACACACACCACACACACCACACACACACAACACAAACCACACACACACCACACACACACACCACACACACCACACACACCACACACACACCACACACACACACACACCACACACCACACACACCACACACACACAACACACACACACCACACACACCACACACACACCACACACACCACACACACACCACACACACACCACACACACCACACACACACTACACCCACCACACACACACCACACACACCACACACACACCACACACACACCACACACACACACCACACACACTACACACACCACACACACACCACACACACACCACACACACCACACACACACCACACCACACACACACCACACACACCACACACACACCATGCCTGGGCACACACCACACACATCACACACACCACACACACACCACACTCACACCACACACCACACACACACCACACACACACCACACACACACCACATACACACCACACACACACCACACACACCACACACACCACACACGCACACCACACACACCACACACACACCACACACTCCACACAAACACCACACACACACCACACACTACACACACCACACACACACCACACACACACCACACACACACACCACACACACCACACACACCACACACACCACACACACACCACACACACCACACACACCACACACCACACACACCCCACACACTCTCCACACATTCCACACACACACATACACAACACACACCACACACACCGCACACACACCACACACACACCACACACACACACACACACACCACACACACACCACACACACACACACACACACCACACACACACCACACACACCACACACACACCACACAGCCCACACACACCCACCACAAACACACACGCACCACCCACCCACCCACCACACACCCACCCCACACACACCACACACACACCACACACACACACACACACCACACACACACCACACACACCACACACACACCACACACACACCACACACACACACCACACACACCACACACACCACACACACACCACACACACCACACACACACCACACACACCACACACACACCACACACACCACACACACACCACACACACCACACACACACCACACACACACACACACACACCACACACACACCACACACACACCACACACACACCACACACACCACACACACCACACACACACCACACACACACCACACACACCACACACACACCACACACACACACACCACACACACCACACACACACCACACACCACACACACCACACACACACACACACACACACCACACACACCACACACACACCACACACACCACACACACACCACACACACACCACACACACCACACACACACACACCACACACACACACACACACACACACACCACACACACCACACACACACCACACACACCACACACACCACACACACACCACACACACCACACACACACACACACACACACACACACCACACACACACCACACACACCACACACACACCACACACACACACCACACACACCACACACACACCACACACACCACACACACCACACACACACCACACACACCACACACACACCACACACACACCACACACACACCACACACACACACCACACACCACACACACACCACACACACCACACACACACCACACACACACCACACACACCACACACACACCACACACACACCACACACCACACACACACACACACACCACACACACACCACACACACCACACACACACCACACACACACCACACACACCACACACACACCACACACACCACACACACACCACACACACCACACACACACACCACACACACACCACACACCACACACACCACACACACACCACACACACACCACACACACACCACACACACCACACACACACCACACACACCACACACACACCACACACACCACACACACACCACACACACACCACACACACCACACACACACACCACACACACCACACACACCACACACACACCACACACACACCACACACACCACACACACACACACACACACCACACACACCACACACACACCACACACACCACACACACACCACACACACCACACACACCACACACACACCACACACACACCACACACACACCACACACACACCACACACACCACACACACCACACACACACCACACACACACACACACACACACCACACACACACCACACACACACCACACACACCACACACACACACACACACACCACACACACCACACACACACCACACACACCACACACACACCACACACACACCACACACACCGCACACACAGACACACACACACACACACACCACACACACCCCACACACACACACCCACAGACAACGACCACACACCCACCCACACACACCGACACACACACACACACACACACCACACACACCACACACACACACACACACACCACACACACACCACACACACACCACACACACCACACACACACCACACACACCACACACACACCACACACACCACACACACACCACACACACACACACACACACCACACACACCACACACACACCACACACACCACACACACACCACACACACCACACACACACCACACACACCACACACACACCACACACACACCACACACACCACACGCACACACACACCACCAAACACACACACTCACCACACACACCACACACACACCACACACACCACACACACACACCACACACACAGACACACCCCACCACACACACCACACACACACCACACACACACACCACACACACCACACACACACCACACACACACCACACACACCACACACACACACCACACACACTACACACACACCACACACACACCACACCACACACACACCACACACACCACACACACCACACACACACCATGCCTGGGCACACACCACACACATCACACACACCACACACACACCACACACACACCACACACCACACACACACCACACACACACCACATACACACCACACACACCACACACACCACACACACCACACACGCACACCACACACACCACACACACACCACACACTCCACACAAACACCACACACACACCACACACTACACACACCACACACACACCACACACACACACCACACACCCCACACACACCACACACACACACCACACACACCACACACACACCACACACACACCACACACACACCACACACACCACACACACACCACACACACACCACACACACCACACACACACACCACACCCACCACACACACACCACACACACCACACACACACCACACACACCACACACACACCACACACACCACACACACCACACACACACCACACACACACCACACACACACCACACACACCACACACACACCACACACACCACACA